AAAAATATATATATATATATAAATTTTCGAATCCCTAGTGCCGCATAATGGAATTAGCTCCTGTTACTTGTCCCAGCTTCTGCCAACCTAGCAGTTCGAAAACATGTAAAAATACAAGTAGAAAAATGGGGACCACCTTTAGTGGGAAGGTAACAGCATTCTGTGCACTTTTGGCGCTTAGTCATGCTGGCCACATAGCTATGGAAACCTCTTCGGACAACCCTGGCTCTTTGTCTTTGAAACAGAGTCGGAAATGACTAGCACAGATGTGAGAGAGGAACCTTTACCTATACATACATACATACATAATATAAATATAAATATATACTTATATTAAAATAAATGAAGAAAATGAAGAAAATTGTAATAATCTAGTAACAGAATGACAAAGATATGAGTGGCCATCTCCAGCGCTTCTTGATTGAGATAAACCTGCAATTGCACCACCCAAAGCTAGCCAAATGTTCCCCTGAATACTGCTTCTAGAAAGTGGTAGGTAGGAGTTAGTGGTAGTTAGGTAGAAGAGGACCCAGAGTTAGTTTCTTAAGCAGAGAGCAGACCAGTGCCTCTTTCAAATCCACTTCTCTTTCCCTCAAATAGGTATTATCACCTGAATCCAATTTCCTATCACCTCCCAGACTCCTTGCCTAGATGTGGTAAAGCTGATTCTAGAACCACAGCCTCAAAAACCTCCCAAGAAACACAGAGCATTACGTCTTTTCATTCTATTCATTGGGCTTCCTATTTGAAGCTAATACAAATGATTATATCACAAAATTTCAGCCAGATAATGGCAATTTACCACCAATTGTCTCTTCTTAACTATTCTTCCCTAAAAAGGCTCAAGATACTTTTAATAAGGCAGCTATCTGATTTACAGAGACATACATCATTATCCTAATTGTGACAATAGGCTCAAATTTAACTTTGTATCCTGGTATATTGATTTTCATTTCCATCGGTTGACACTTCAGATCAATTCCATAGGTTCTATAAATTTGAAAAGTTTTTTTTATCTATCAGGCACCAAAGCTAAGGAGGTAGTATATCTAGTCATCACCAGGAAGTAATGAAAATGACCCCCAAGATTAGGCGAAAGTCAGACTGGGTCATTATGGTTTAAAACAACCCATAGTTATGATGCTCATATATTCTCAAGCTACTTTTGACTTCAAAAAAGGTTTAAATGAATCAGAACTAACAATCTAGTCAAATCCATCCTCGCCCTCTCCAAATTCAAGTGCTGTAGTTCAGAAAGAGATATTGCTCTACCAGTAAGAGAAAAGTACAATAGCTGCATGCTCAATCTGTCATTTAGGCCTAACCTTACAAATACAGTTTTGCATCTGGTGACCTGTGAAACAATATTCCTCACAACAAACAAGGTCTTTGCAATGCATATTTGCCTTCTACCTCACTGCTTTCAAGTTGTGAATGACCTATAAATCAGCCAGGCAGATCATATTGAGAAATACCTTGTATTTGCTGTCCAGTCAGGTTTTGGTGATACATGTCAGCACTGCTCCCTTGTCTACAATTTAATTAATTAGTCCACAATTATTTTATTATAAATAAATCTGGCAATCAAAATATCAGTCTGAGCACAAGGAACCCAGCTACCAGAATGCTTAGCTCAAAATATGAGATATGGGGCCTGAAATAAATATTGCATCCAAAATTACCCATCTCTCTTCCCACTCCCCCCCAAAAAGTGCCCTCATCTGCCAGCATTATTTTATTCATCCGTCACTACTGTTATCCTTTCTTGTGTACATTGGAGAGGCATTTATACATATAGATGCTTCTTTAAAAAAAAGTGTCTGATCATTCCTGCAGTTCAAGCCAAAATGGCCATGGACAGTACCTGACTGAAACAGGGGTGTGTGTGTCTGTGTGTGTGGTGGTGGTACATGTTTGCAGCAGCCTAAAGTGACCAATAGGAATGCAGCAGATTCTAACTCCTGGCTGCATCTGTAACCAAAAGAGGGAAAACATTGGTACAGATTAAAGGCAAACGTGAAAGAATCCTCAATTGATCCAGGAAAATGTTAATATATCTATTAAAAATTGAAATGATTAAATATAGCACACTGATGCTCCAATAATCACTTTCGGTAATAAATCTAAATAATAATGGCATATCAATCCATATTTATTTATTTTATTTATTTAGTTTGTCAAACATGTACAAGGTAACCGTTATAAGTATAAACATGGACATGAATAAAGGAAATGAGTACAAATAAATGGGGACAGTAGGACAGGGATGGTAGGCACGCTGGTGCACTTATGCACGCCCCCTTTACGGACCTCATAGGAATTGGGTGAGGTCCACGCTAGACAGTTTTAAAGTTGAAGCTGTGGGGACTTGAGGATGTAACAATGGAGTCAGGTACAGCATTCCAGGCATTGACCACTCTCTTGCCAAAGTCGAATTTCTGCAATCGAGTTTGGAGAGTGTATCTTGAGAGTGTATTGATTGTTTGCCTGGGCATTATTGAGGTTGAAGCCGAAGTAGTCTTTGATAGATAGGACGTTGTAGCAGACAATTTTGTGTATTATGCTTAGGTCAGAGGGTAGTCGTAGTTCCAGGTTGTCCAAGCCCAAAATTTCAAGCCTAGCAGAAGGGATTCTATTGTGAGCAGGAGTGGAATGTAAAACATGACATTTTACATTCTCTGATTTCAAGGAATATGGAAAGGGATGTAATGTACTCACCTTGTTTACATGATTAAAACTGTTCAATGCAGATCAGTTAATTCACCACAATCATATTCCGTTGTTTACATTCTTAAATCATCATTCACTGCAAGTTGACCCTGTCTTAGCCGACATCTGACAGCTTTACCCGAGATGGATGCGCGCACGTGCCTCGGAGGAGATGATTCCAGGCATTCGGGGCCCAATTACATAAATACAGCTGAAGTCAGCATTGGACTCCTTACCGATATACACGTGTAAGTGGGTTACTCCGGGTTTATATGAAATCCAACGGTATGGTTTTGGGTTAATAGCCTTGGCCTCCTGGGAGACGTTAACCCAAATGAGCGATTGCGTTAAATTGGAAATTAGGCCTAGCAAAGGTTATGGCTTCGTGACGAAGGGGGGGGGGAACCATCTCCGGCAAGGCAAGCGCGTCTTTGAACCAAACGGGGAACCGGCGGCGGTGCTTCGGGCCCGAAAAGGGCTCCTCCTCGTCACCGTCTGAGGAAGGCGAACGCCGTTCCTCTTTGCTCCGGCCGTCTGGGACGCCTCGGCCTGGCTGTGGGCTGACGCTGGTTGGCGACGGGAGGAGCACGTGAGTGGGAAGAAAGGGGGAGCACAAGGTCGGGTTGAGCGAGGGGGCGGCGGCGGCGGCAGCAGGAGTTTCCCCGACATCTGGAGGTGTCGGCGGCCCCGCTTGGGAGCGAACGTCGGGCGGGAGCTGTTCGCCGCAGCAATAGCGGCTGCAGCGGCTCCTCCTCCTGCTGCTGCTGCTTCGCCGAGTCCCTCCGCCTGAGTCGCCTCTCCGAGCCTCCGGTCGCTCCTCCTTACTGACAAAAACACAAAGGGCCGCAGCAGTCTGGAGACGCCTCTGTAGCCGGCATGGGAGACAAGAAGAGCCCCACAAGGTGAGGAGAGCAGAGAGACGGGCGGGAGGGCAGCCGCGTAGGCGGGCAGACAGGCAAAGGGCCTTCGCGGGCAGGCCGGTCAGGAGACGGCGGGCGGCGGCGGGGCTGCCGTCCCCGCTTCTTTTCCTCCCCCTCCCTCCTCTGCCAAAGCCTTTGGCGCCCCCCAACGCAGCAGGAACGATGGCGGTGAGGAGGAGGAGGAGGCGAAGGGAGAGAGGGAGGAGGAGGAGGAGACGTTGTGGGAAGCGGCGGCGACAGACGAGGAGAAGCGAGGCCCTGAGGGGAAGCGAGGAGGGAGGGGAAGGGCGGCCGCGGCGATGCCTTGTTTTGTGTCTTAAATTTCCTTATGTTTTTCCTCGTCCTCCCTCCCGCTTTTTCGAGTAGGCCGAAGCGGCAGCCGAAACCTTCCTCCGACGAAGGCTACTGGGACTGCAGCGTCTGCACCTTCCGGAACAGCGCCGAGGCCTTCAAGTGCATGATGTGCGATGTGAGGAAGGGCACCTCCACCCGGTGAGTGAGCGGGCAAGAAACCTGGCCTGACAGCCGCTTCCCCGGGCAAAGCAGGAGCGGGGATGGACGGGGGGGCGTGGGGTGGGGGAGAAGGCGGCTGGAGTCAGGAAAGATGGATCAGAACGGGGGAGCCGGCGACTGCCACCCCCATAGCCGTGGGGCAGGCGTATCGCTTGCTCTCTTCTATGGGAAGCGTAACGGCTCCATTTGCCCCCTTCCCCTTCTTTACTTCAATAAACGTCCCACTCCCGTGGTGAACTTAAAACTTGCGAATCAGATGCTCTTTCTGCCTGCTTCCCACCTCTCTGGATCTGTAGGAAGATGGGAAGTGCTGGCTGTTGGTTTTTAATCCTGGTAAACTAAAGTATTTCTCATGCTTTGAAATACTCAAACTGACCAAATATTAATGGCAAGCAGTTGCACAAATTGTGAGAATAGATTTTATGACATCAGTTGTAAACAAAACAAAAATGGGCCAGAGTTTGTTTTACTTTTATTGAGACAACTCTGTTGTATACTGTGCTGTGTATACCCAAACATATGTGCACACATGGACAAGTCCATGGACTGTCCCATTTATTTTGTGATATTAGCAAGCACATATATACTGTTGATCAAAATAGAAGTACTCTATTACGTTTGAAAATATTAACTATGATAATGTAGACAATAAGAGTATATTTTTCTGTCCCTGTATTCCAGAACCTTTAAAAATTATTTGATTATCCAAAAACTGTTGTTATAAAGAGAGAGGGAAATGAGGAAATATGTGATGGAGATACATATTTATGCAAGCTGAGTGAGTGGTGGCTGCTGAGGTTATGAAAATTTCAAGCTTCTGTGGGATGTTAAAAAAAGGGAAAACATGGTTATTGGTAATTTGGGAGGCAAAGGTGGAGCAGGAGGTTTGTTAGTCCACATCCTGGAACAACACAGCAGAGCCTCTCCTGATGCAGATCAATAGGATTGTAACAATAAGTATTTGCTGAGCTACTCCCTGCTTCTTTACATGATTATACATGTATGTAAATATAACTAAGATAATTTTTTCATATTACACTTATCTCCTATGTCCCACTGTTACTTTAAGTAGTTACTGTTGAACTTACAGTTTTCTTTAATTTCTTTCAACAATTTACAGTAGCAATACATACTTGCTTTCAAACGACCATCTTTCACAGCTATTTCTTAATAGAGTTAGCGATAATATTTTGCTCCAGGTACAGTTATAACCTCGAACAGTACTTAGCATTTAATCCAAAAAATTAAACAGAAATGATCTACTTAAATATATAAAACAAGTGATCCATGTGTAGAGTGGTTCAGTTCTGTTTTCTGTCACCGAGGACTCACAACAATTAATACTGAGAACTTGTCCTATTTGTACCCATATCATTATTTGTTATTTCCTTGGCACTCAGATTTTGAATATTCAGACCAAGTCAGTGAACATGCATGCACACATGTATTTGTGACATTTAAAAAAATTATCAGCAATATTTTCTGCCCAGTTCAATTATGCAAGATACTTGCTTTGAATCTATTGTAGTTAAAATATTTTTATAACTTGCGGCATTATAAATACATTTCAGACTTTGAAAAAGTGTGGGTGCTGTCACAAAATAGTTATCAAAAGTTCATGTGCATTAACATATTAGTTGTTATAATGTTCATGCTAATGTCCATAATAGAAGTGGCAAAACTTAAAAGTCAAATCATTTGTCCAAAAAAGTGAGTACAGAATAAAGCCAAAGTGGTTCTGAGCTCCAAAGCCATTTGTTTGAATTCAGATTTCCATTTAAAATAATTCTCACTTTCTTTGTCTATTCTTTATCTTTTTTACTATGTAAATTTTGATCAAATAATTCGGGACAATTAAGCAGAAAAACAGCAACATAAAAAAAATTAGGGAAAGAAGGTAAGAATACACCTCACTTATCTTGGCCTGACAGTGAACTTGCTCTGTTTTGTTTCTGTCTGTGCCAGCAAATGTATTTTTTCATTTATGTAAAGAAATTCACCTCTCAAATCTCACCGTCCCAGAAAGTAAACTCATTTTCTTTCTTCCACAGCTCCACTTTTGTTGTTTCTTATTTCTCTATCCATAAGGCTATTCACTTCCATTTTTAATTAAAATCCTTGACTTTGTGATTCCCTTTTCTCCAATACCTTAATTAATTTCATTGTTACCCTCCCTAATCAAAGTTGTAGTTGGTATATAGCAGGTAAACTGCTAACTAGTGCAAAGTAAAAGAATTACATATCTGTCAGGGGTCCAAGTAACATACCCGTAGCAAACACAACTCTGAGGCAGGTAGATTCCTCAAAGAATAAGTTTATTGGATATGTCATATTGGCACAGGCTGGTGAAAACTGACTCTGATTATTCCCACGATTTTTACCTAATTAAAAGTTTAAAAAAATCACTTCCTCAAAACCATCGGTCACATGGTCCAATCACAATACTGTCCAGTTGCTAGGTGCACTTGGTATTCTCCCATGCTTCCTTCAGTGATTCCATTTATTGATATGGATGATGGAGGATCAATGTACTCCCTCAATTCTGTCATTCTGGACTTAGCTCTATGAATGCCTGGGCTAAGTTGTTGTCAATGTACTCCCTCAATTCTGTCCTAGCTTTGGCAAGGGGAAGGATTATCAGGCACCGGCTGCATCCCATTTCTATAATAGCTTCTGTTTCTCCCTCCTATTTTCAGCACAACTAGCTTTGACTTGATAGCAAATGGATAGATGTCTTCATTTACCATTGGGTTGTCCTTGCTGTCATCATTGCTGTCCCCGGTTGCCAGCAGCAGGCCTCCTTGAGCTGGAGTTCCCTCTTCCCCTTCAGGGAGGAGACCTCAATGACTTGGCGGGTGAATTTTCCTCTCTCCGGATTCTTCCGTGGTGGCTTTTTTGGTTTGGTTGATGCAGGGCTCTTTGCTTGTGGGACAGGAGTTTGGGCCAGGCACTTGGACATGTAGTGGCCCTGTTGATCACATTGGAAGCACTTGATTGATACCGTTGAGGCCCCTTTTGGTCTGTCCTTTCCTTGGACAGTGCTAGTTCTCTGGCTGAGCTTTCCTTGGGCTTTTTCTCTGGAGTTTCCTTCTGGTACTGGTTCATCTCGAGGTCCATGGCCACAGTTATTTGGTACCAATCATGGATGCTGTCTGGGACTCCCCAGGAGAGGCAGGTGTGGTGTAATTCTTTGTCTGAGCCCTTGGAAAAAGAACCAGGACCAGGAGACGCTTGGCCAATGTCGCAGTTTCCCAGCAATTCTGCAAAATTCTCTAATGTATTCTTTGGCCGAGCGACCCTCTTGCTTGATGGCTTTAATTTCTGCCTCTGCTTCTTGGGCTTGGGCTTAATTTTTGAACCTATTCCTCAATTTCTGCAGGAAGTTGTTGACGTTCCCTAGTTCTGGCACATCTTCGTCTTGCAGTTGGGTCACCCACTCTGCTGCCTCCCCATCTAGGTTCTACATGATGGCTTGGATGATTTATTGGTTGTTGGCATAGGGTCCCCATGACGGTCAATTTGTGTCTACACCCAGTTTAGGTAGAAAGCCAACTTGTCTGGACTCCCATCGAAGGCCGCTGTGAAATGCGGAAGCTGGCTGTGGTGGTGGTGGCGGAGGCTGAGTGGGAGCAGGATTCATTGCATTTGGACTCAGCCATGCCCCTGGTAGTAAGCCCAGATGGGTGGTAATTGCCAAGCCAGTGGTAACTGGGGCTGTTCAGGAGGATTAGCCTGCCCCCTGCACTGTGGAGGAATCTGCTGTGGTCCTGGGCTCAACCAAATTGTGGGAAGCGGCAGCAGGCATGGAGCACCGCTATTGTTGACCGGTCCTGCATGGTAAGACGCAGTCTTCCTAATCTAATACACACAAAGTCTAATACACAGAACAGAAGTAATAACATCTGGTGAATGGCCTGACTTTGACTCTGTAGTTAGAAGACATCTGGGAAAATATTAAATAGTAGGGGTTTTTTTCTTTCCTTTTGAAGTTATAAAAGGAACTAATTTGCAAATAACTAAATCTTACTAAAATTGATTATTGGATTATGGATTGGAAAGACTGGAAGAATTTAGTGGAGTAACCTGAATTAATTTGGACTTGGAGTATTAATGTTATTTAATAGAACATTATATGGCAAAAGAAGAAAAGGTCAGAAGAAAAGAGAGAAAAATGAAATAAGACTTTAAAATTTGGACAATTGGAAAATTGGGGAATTATAAGGCTGTAAATTATGAAATAAAATGTGGGGTTTTGGAGATATAACTATGGGATTAATGTTACTTGATTAAATAGAAGCTTCTTAAATATTGAGATATTGGAATAATAGAAATATAATTTTATAAGCTGTATCAAATTACTATAGAATGGATCTAGAGATGTATGAAGAAATATTGAGCATGTTAAAAAATCTGCATGAATCCTTAAGAAATGACAAAGAGACAAAGGAATTGTTTAAAGATACAGAAATGAATGTAGAAGCTATTCAAAAACTGGGGAGGGAGAGAGGAACACAATATTCAAGAAATAGATGAAAAACTACAAAAAGCAGGAGAAGGGGAGAATAAAAATGAGAAGCAAGAAGCTAGGAACAAAGAAAAGAGACTAATAAGTAGAAGACATGTACATAACATCACAATTTATGGTACACAGAAAAAAAACCTTTAAAAAACAAAAACAAAAGGAAACTTTGTGGATGGGTGTTCAAAAAACGCAGCAGAAAGAGGCAAAAGGTACCCTGAAGTTTAGAAGAGACAAAAAAACTAAAAAGAGATACAATATTCCAAGAGAGAGAGAGATAAAAGACGGACCAAAAAATCAATAAACGATGGAATTTTAGAAAGACAAAGAGATGATGGATAATGAGAAAATATATTAATAAAATGGGAAAATACCATAACCCCAATAAGTTTAGGTTAATAGATGGTAATTTAGGACTAGACAATTTAACTGAAGTACTAATATTAATTCTGTTAAAAGA